TCAAGTAGTTCTTTTTAATAGAAACTGGTTCATATACACGTTACAGATGAAACCACGAAAACGCTTATGCAGCCAGCCCGTTCGTCAGGATTCGAATTCCAGGCCGATGTACTGGTGTTCAGCGACTTAATCGCTCGGCCGCTGTTGGACTAATTATAAGAAATAAAAATTTACCAGTGTTTAATTTTATCATGTGCATGTCTTACAGAAATGCCCGAAAGCACATATAACATTACTATTTACAAACTCCAAACGCGATGAAAATGTTGTTTGTACATTCGTTGTTCTCCACAATAATCATCGCCTCCATGAATGGAGGGGACATCTACACCCCAACAATAGTGTTTTTCAATGCGATGCTTCCGCAGTAAAACATGCACTTCTTCATTCTCCATAAGTCTTCTATCATTAAATCCATACAAATAATCCTCCGAAATAATAAGCAACTATGTACCCCCCCCGACTTTCATGGATAAAAGAACACTATGGAAACACTGGCAATGAGTCGGCTGATTCTCCTGGTAAGGACGCTGCCCAAAATGTTAATGCCGATATTCTCCAAATATCCTGGCTAATGTCGTATCTAAAACTATATCTACAATTAAAAGCCCACAGCATATGGCAAGAAGAATGGGATGATAATAGCACTGGCCGAAGAACATAATACTGTTACGAAATGTACAGGCGCGATAAAATAGCTTCGCAAAGCAGTGTTAGGGTTTCCATAAAATGGCAAATAAAGCAGGGTTGCCACATTTGGCGACAAAATTGGCGATATACCATGGACGGTTGTAGAACCTTCTGGAACGAATTCTTACCGGTTAAGCCTAGACTGTTCTCAAACAAGCCGAAAGCTATATAAACCCTGCTTGTTCGCAGTCAGTGTGTGCCACGTCTAGCAAGCTGATAGTCAGTCATTGAGCGAGTGTCTCGAAGTCTAGCGCCGAGTTGGTCGTCGAGTGAATCGAGAGAGTCTTTTAGTGCATCGCGAATTAGTGCATCGTCGAGTTTTGTCTTAGACTGTGCTGAGTCGAGAGCTATTCTCTTGTGTATCGTCGAGTGCATCGCGTGGAGAGTCTCGAGAGTACTTGGAGTTTCGAGAACGACCAAGCAGAGTTGGGAGCAGTACTCTGGTGCTTTGCAGTGAAGCTTGTCTCCACCGTTATTGCCTGACAGTGTGAAGGCTGTGTTGCCTGAACGTGTCCGGGTTTGTAACAGTTCGACGACTGGAAAAGGGATTTGGAGCTATCTGATTCTATGGTAAACAAAGTGTATTTCGATACTTCATCAAGTATCGTCGTTATTCTCTCCAAATCTACAAACCCCGTACGAACGTGAAGGAAGAGAAAAACGCAGCAACTGGTGTCAGAAGGAAGAAAATAACGTAAAAATACTATCACCTCTCTTATGTCAATAGCAGTCGCTTAATAGTCGATCTACATTTGGTTTGTTACATTTCTGGACATGGCCCATTGCCTGTTTACTTCGCAAAGCTTTCTGAAAATTCATGATCCGCCAAAAACACCTTGCAAATTCTGTTTCCAAAATTATGCAAACGACCTTAGTTTGGACCTCTGTCAAACGCAGTATCTTTTGAACACTTTATCATCGCAATATTGAATACAGGAGTGGTGTGTTCTTAAATGAAGTGCTGGATGTTCAAACATAACACAGCACTACTACATCACCTTGATTTCAAAATTTTACAAATATCCTAAGCGATTTCATGGAATTTACCATAATTTGAACCTTTCATGAGACACTATTATACTTTCTATATTTACCACCAATTACGAACTCTTGTATTTTTCTAGGAACTTTCTATGAGTTTACAATTATGAACTATTAACATACCACATACTTTGATCTACTGACTAAGAGTCATTATCTTCGAACTATCCGAACTTTATTTTACAAATAAACTCTGAACAGTATGATAAACTACAATTTATTTAAACTTTACAACTATTTATATTTTAGATATTTCAATTTTTTTATATATCTGAACTATCTGAACTCTTTATTAGAACTACCTGAACTACGCATATGAACTATTTGAACTATATACATGTACATTTTGAAATATGAACTATATTGACACATGAATTATTTGAACTGTATATTTGAAAATGTTTAAAATTTTTGTACTATATTCAAAATTCTGAATATTTATTATTATGTTATTTTATACATTATGCTACAGATTTTTGTATTACATTCGAAACTATGTATCTATTTTGTTACTATCAATAAACGGCTGGGGTCACGTAGTGGGGAGACGGCACTTAACCAATTAACCAAATGGTAAAGCTGTGATGCCCGTCTTCACTCCCCCCGCTCCTAATCCTAATCTTAATTCTATCATGTGAAAAAAACCTCGTTCAAGCAGAAACGTTACAAATTCATCAAAAAATTAAATTGACAGTAGTAGGGTAAAGCCCTTTATTACCAAATAAAATTAATTTGACCTATGTTCCACAAACTACAACACTTGTTAATGGACAAATTCAGTTGCAGTAGTCAAAAGTTGCAGTAAGATATTCCCATTAAGGTGTTTTATGGAGACCGTTTACGAACACCAAACATCCATTTGAACGCAGTTACAAAAATAACACGAAAATTCGATTCACTCTCAATTCTCACTGGCGCCAGAAACAACAGACGAGTTGGAGCGGAAGCAAGACTGAGTCGTAGATTTCTGACTCATTTTCGATTCACTCTCAGTTCTCACTGGCGCCAGCAACAACAGACGAGTTGGAGCGGAAGCAAGACTGAGTCGTAGATTTCTGAGTCATCTTCGATTCACTCTCAATTCTCACTGGCGCCAGCAACAACAGACGAGTTGGAGCGGAAGCAAGACTGAGTCGTAGATTTCTGAGTCGTCGATGCAAAATATGAGAGAGCTCGAGAGATATGTGTTTACGGCATTCTGGGAGGTTAATTTCACACGTAGCTAGAAAAGAGCAAAAAAATAAAGTAAAAAGAAAAACCACTCGGCTAGTTAGCTCTCAAGTACATCACCCCATAAACAGGACTTAAATTATTTGTGAGTTACCTCAGCATCCCACTGTGCCGTAGTACATTTGTTGAGAAGCGCTAGTGTTAAAAAAAAAGTATTTAACTAGAAATATTTTCATTTTTAATCTATATACATATTATTAAAAGTTGGGCATGTGCCAACATTTGTAGCCTGCCACTGTTACTTAGAATATAAATAAAAGAAGATTCTGTAAGTAAGATTTCCTTTATGAAAATATTTGCATTGATCGAAACGTTTTACAATAGTCTGCATCACTTAATGCATTAACATAAAAACTCTTTTCCTAAACTAACATTTCGTTTTTAGTTACATGCAAATTTAAATATTTCGCTGCAAAATTTCCGTGTGATCCCTGAATTTTCAGAAAACATGATCTCAAATTTTATGAAAATATCTCAGTCAGTTTTTGTCACACGAGAGTCAAACATTTTGTATTGTTGCCACTCAGTATTAGAGTCCTGTATTATATTTAAATAAATTAAATAATTAACAATCTGCTTAAACGTATGTATGCTTCTCGCACTGTAAAAAATCAACGGTAACCAGAGACATTGAATTTTGAATAACGTAGTCCTCCACTCGAATATGGGCATCTGGAAGCCCAAATTTGGAATTTGTTTTATCATTTATTTCATATTTTATAACCAAAGGATGAATAAATGAAGGAAGTAGTTGGAAGCGAAAATGTGACTGTTAAGTTCGTAGAAACTGATAGTGAAGTTACGAAGTCGCAGTTAGCAACTATTGAAGTACCTCAAACTTCTTGTGATACAGAGATGGGCGAAGTTGATGTACATCTTAAGCAGTGTTCAAGTATGGGAAGAAAATACACCGACGTTCACAAACTAAGTATGTGCCTCATATACAGATTGTACAGACAAACTTTATTCTAAACCAGGATACTTGCTTTTGTAAAGAATCGGATTCCATTCATAACTCTAATGCAAAATTTGGAAGTGTTTCTCAAGAAATAGAGAAAAATAACCATATACCAGCTGCTAAAAATACCGACGTGAAATTACGGAGAAGTGAGCAAAATGTTTCAGATCTTATTGCGAATGAAAGACTAAATCTTCAGACTGGGATATGCAAAACAGAAATACCTCTGGGAATTGCAGTGAAAATGTAATTAACCCATGTATAACTTAATGAATAGCCTGAGACTGAAATGAATTCTGAACTTAAATTTATAAAATTTTAAATTGCTATAAGACTAATTTGTGTATATAACTTGTAAATAGTGAATATATTTGTTTCTTTCTTTATTTTATTTGTTTGTTTCATTACCTTTTGCTTGTATGGAATTTGGCCTCTGGCCAAGGATTGAACTGCCCTGGACGCGCAGTTCTTCGGAGTCGGCAGTGTTACGAAAGGTCCAGCTGAGGTAAGATAGCTTCCGCTCAAACTGGGTTTAGGATTGCCAGAAAATGACAAGAGAAGGCAAGATTGCCAGATTTAGCACGAAATCGCCCGTCTGGCGACAAAACTTGAGATATAGCATAAAAGGAGCAAAATCATTCTAGAACGAACTCTTACCAGCTTTCCCCAGAATGTGCTCAAAGACAGGTCAAAAGCTATAAAAACCCTAACTGTACTAGGAGTAATATTGAGTGTATCGTAAAAGTATCTTGAGTTGAAACATAAGCTTAAGAGCGATCGAACGAGTCGGAAACTGTAATTTGTGCTTTGCCGTGAAGTTGTCTTCACCGCTACAGCCTGATAGCTGTGCTGCTGATTGTTCCACCTTGTTCATGTTTTTGATTCTTCATCAAGTGTTTTCATCAATCAGTCCAAGTCCATGGACTCGTAAAACGCAGCACTATGTTATATGTCTCTCATTTGACATAATGGTAAGAGAAGTAATTAGATTAATTTTTACTTAGCAAGTAATTAAAACTGAATACTTTTTATTTCATTCTATTATTGTATGCATATTTAATGTGTTCAAATTCATCTACAGGTAGACGAACAGTTAGCGAATATCGAACGAAATCTACAACTGTCACTGATGTTCATACACCAGAAAGTAAGTTTTAGTGTCAATGTTTTGCAATTTGTCTTGAACTTAGTTTTATTGAAAGAACACGTAATTTTAACTGAATTTTGAGGCTTTTAAAATTTTTAAAGCTCTGTTTCTCGGTATGGAATATTTATTATTTTAAATGACATTATCTATACTAGGATGGTGTTAATTATATATAATTGTTAAATTTCAGTATATTATGCTTTTTATTTTGCTATCTCTGTTTGGCAGCCTACTTATTTTTTCTACATTTGTAACAAAATCAAATATATAATTTCAGTTATATATTTGATTTTGTTACAAATGTAGAAAAAGTTTTTGGAAAAAACTATTCAGTTTCGAAACATTTTTACTTTCTTATACGTAGTACAGGAAGTATTGTAATCACGAAAATTTTCGGTTATCATATTTCAACGAAAATATCTATTTTGGCAGCTCTCGAATCAATCTACATCAAACTAAGATTGCTTTTTTGCCTGAATAGTTGACTCAAATCGAAACCAAGCTATTTGGTGACTTAACATATCATTTAAGGACATGCTTCTGTCGCTTCACAATTTGTTGATACATTTTGACCTTATTCAAACTTTATTTTAGTTAACCAAAATGTGTTATATAACAATTTTATAATATTAACCGAACCTTTTATAGCAATACGCGATGTATTCTCCATGCTTTGTTCTTATATGTTACTTTTTTCCCAGCTAAAACTTGCAGCGATATTGAGACAGTCGGATCTACAACACCGATTATTCACACCCCGCCAAGTAAGCCCCTTTTTTATCATAGAAATTTCTCGTAAAGGTAGGATTTGTTTTCTATATGTCTTATGTATTTCTATCATTTCAAAGGTTTTTCATGCATGGTGTAACCTAACTTAATCTTGATAATCACTAATGAGCGATATCTGAGTCCTGTATAGGTAGACGACGAATGGAACACACAATATCTGTTCGAAAGAAATGATAATTTAATGTAAAAAATGTTATGAAGGACTGTCACAGGTGCTAATCATCACAGTATTACAAGAAATGTTTAGAACTCTCAGCAAGTACATTTTTGCTTAACTCAAAATTTCTAAATACAGGATTAGCAGAGGAAAGATGATTGATGAATATGTAAGTATGGTTTTTCCTCTAAAAGAAAACATTTACAGAAATAAGCTTCCAAATGTTTTCTGATTTTAATAAATGATGGTAAACAATAATTACTATGATTATGATGGACGACAGCACAAATATACGTTTTAATTAAAAATTTGAATGCTGTCAGATCTTATATTAAACCTAAACGTGCATTTTCTCCATTCGCAGACACGTACACATTTCGAGAGCATTTGGGCTAACGCCAAATTGGACTAAAAATATTTAAGAACAGCAAATTTCTAGAATTTCCAATGAACAGGCTCGCACACTAGACATAAAAATGCTTTATTCCTTATAGTGCTGCTACCGCTTGCTTTGAAATATTTGAGATTTTTAATCAAACTTTCGTTAGAGTCTTATAACATATGAAATAGACAATAAAGCAAATTCCATATTCCAAATCCGAACTTCCAGGTGCCCCTGTTCGGGTGAAGAACTATATAATACAAAATTTCGTAACGCTATGTACCGTTTTTTACTTCTTTGTATGAAGTAAAAATGAAGTATTGTAATCGCGAAAAGTTTCAGGCAGCATATTTCAAAGAAAATATACATTTTGACCGCTATCGAATGCAATTTGACGCTGTTTTTGCGTCACATCTGTACGCAAGGACAGAGTAAAGGACTCCTTTCTTCCCCCTAGAACGAATTATCGAACTGATTTAAAATGGATTCAAAAGCGAATTTGTTTGGTCTGTACGAACGTATGTACGTACGTACGTATCTCGCATAACTCACAAACTCAAAGTGGCTTTAGAACGTCAGAAATTCGAAATTTCATGTAGGACTGCTATAGGACATGTATACGATGTGCACCTCGTGCAGTCCCTTGGTTGCAATCGGAATTGACGCACCAAAAGTGTATATAACTTGATATAGTATTTTTTATTCATATGTGATAGATTGTGCATTTTTGCTTTTAAAATGATTGAATTATATTGTTCCATGTCTCTTAGTTAATCTGCATGAAGTAGTTGCAGAATTATCTCAATGATTTTTACATTATTGTAATTCTACAACTTTTAAATGTGGCTAAGGGTTTTCCCCCCTTCCCAGAGGAACCATATGTTTACAAAACATTTGAAACAGCAGAATGGAATTAAGTCTTACTGCACCGTCAGGAGCCCGGGGGATCATCGATAGCGATAAGACGTGTTTTCGAGCACCGTTCTACCTCATTATAGCGGAATTTTTCATCTTACAATCACGAAAGTAGCTGCTACGTGTAGTCTGAAGCTTCAGGTTTACGCAGATGCAAATTTTATGTCTATACGACAATTAGTTCGTTAATTACAGAATTTTTCGTGTTTTCACCATAAATAAGCGATACTTGTGCTATTTACAGCGTATTCTTCTACTTCACAGACTCATCGAGAAGACGTCTGCAGTCGCCGCGCTCCACATCTGGTACCACTGGAAAGAGGAAGTTTTTAACTTTAATTTGAATCTAATTTCATCCCATTCTGATAATTAGAGGATTAATTACGTGCAATAACATCCAAATGAATTAGCGAATGCAGTACACCTACACCAGAAACCGTTGGAGCGACCGTTGCAGGGAACTGCAGCTGTGGCTGAGTCATCAAAGAGAACTCTAACGGCCGATTTTTATGTAGTGGACCTTTCTGAAGGTACCCACTTTTTACTGTTCTAATTAAGATATCTTCTTCAGATCGACGTCATTGATCTTCCTGAAACTTCGCAGATCCAAAATTCTAAATTTAAAAAAAAATCCGTCGACTATATCAAATTTTACAACCTTTTCAGCTATTTAATTCGACTTGGCGAAATTGTGCGGCGTCGTGTTTTAGGGAAGTGCCTAAATGTGTGTTCCATCTTTCAATACCTTTGGATTACCTCTGGATTGCTTCAATTTTTAAATACAGATGACAATCAGAGAAGTATAGTCTGCCAGGGTAAGTTACTTGCAATTACCTTAAATTAGCAATTACTGAGACAATCACGTAAATTAGAGCCTAGCACTGATCCTCCTAGTGGAGATCGGAGATAGTTACCAGACTGTTGTCCATGTGTTAAGTTCTTGACTGACCTTAGTATATTAATTTGTATACATGTTGGTACTTTTTATAATCGTGTACTGATTGTGTACTAATTTGTATTGATGGTATATTGTTTCAGCTCTGTTTAATTTGCATTGCTTCTACAAACGTAAGCACCCTTACATACAGTGGTCCCTTAGAGATAGGACACTTTCCCTACAAGGATACTTGCACAGTGCAGATACAAAGTGAGTATGCCAAAAACACGAAACACGGAGCTAGAAAGGCATCAAAGCCAGGACAGCGAAGGGCATAAGACATAAAGGGAAAGACAGAGGATGTCTGTCAAGTAAGTCTAAAAGGCAAGACAGCCGAGACAAAGACTCGTCATCAGATGCAGCTCCACAAACAGACCAGGATATCACAGAATTAGAGACAGAGACACAAGTAGACGGAGGGTCTACTTTCGACGAAGATCATATTAGTGTCCAAGAAAGTTTAGGTTACTTGACAGAGTTAGACGGAATCTTAAATTCCGCAGACATACACAAAAAGGTAACAAAAAAGATAAAGGAGCACTTTGTTAAAGTTCTTAATATAATTACCAAAAAGGACCTGCAGATAGGAAACTTAGAAGGGCAGTTAGGGCATATAAAATGGATAGAAGACTATATAACTGGCGTTACAAGTATAGCAAAGCCCACATATGCCAGCATGGCACAAAGAGGTAGATCGAGATCCAGATCACAGACGAGGTCACAAAACACCCAAGAATACGTCACGATAGTTTATCCCAAATCTGACATGACATCAGAAGAGGTTCGTGAAAAAGTAGTTAGTAACATAGACCCAGCACGCCTTAAAGTAGGGGTCAAAGCAGTTAGAAAAGTAAGAAAAGAAGGTGTTCTGCTAAAAGTAGACAAGAAAGAGGAACTAGACATTCTGGAAGACGCGATAAAAGAAAGCTCTAAGTTAAAAAGATTGTAGACACTAAAAGACATAAGTCAATCCTAGGATAGTAATATACAACGTAGACAAAGACCTAGATAAGGACTTAATAAAAGATAAAATCTTAACTCAAAATCCAGGGATAGAAAACGCTGAGATAGCAAATACATTTTTCCTATGAAAGGCAGATTCGGTAATTACTGGGTAGCCTCTATAGACCCGACCAGCTTCAAAGCAATAATGAAGACTAAGAACAATTAATATACAGTGGGACCAGGAATAGTGTCAGGGAATTCATTCAAGTTTCTCAATGCCACAAAATGCTTAGGCTATAACCATTCAGCAAAAAACTGTACAACACATCCTCGGTGCACAAGATACGGATCAGAAGAGCACTTCAAAAATGAGTGTAACAGACAAACTCCAAGATGCATTAACTGCCACAATGTAAATACAAAATACGAAACAGGACTGGAAACAAACCACGATAGTAAAAGTAAACAATGCGCATGCTACATTAAGGAATTACAAAGGTATAAGCAAAGAATAACTTATGAGTAGTTTCACAGCAATTCAGATAAATCTTCAGCACTCAAGGGGTGCGGCTATATACTTTAGAGACTACTTAGAAACAAATAGTTGTATAAATATAGTATGCATTCAAGAGCCCTACACAAAATACGACCAAATACGTGGTTTTCCACTACACTATAGGAAGTATTACGCAAAAAATAGAGCAGAAGCAGCAATTATCTTAACAGATAGCAGAATCCCAGCATTAGAACTGTACAGCAACGAGACAATATGTGTAATAAGGATAGAGGAGAGTACCCCATTCATTATGATATCGGTCTATTTGTCCGCCTTCACAAGACATAGATCCAATTCTCAGCACATTCGAAAGTCAAATAGCGAATCAAAAAGGCATCCCCATCATCATCAACGGGAACTTTAATTCTAAACATTGAATATGGAGCCCAAATCACCCAGATCTTAGAGGACTAAAGGGGTATGCGATTTCTTAGCTACCACGGACATGAGTATCTTAAACGATCTGGAAAGGCCCCCAACATTCTCAGGTGCTAGAGGGAGTTCCTGTATCGAAGTGACACTCCTCAAAAGACATAATAAATTAGCGATCATAAATTGGAAAGTTTTAGAAGAAGCAAACCTAAGTGATCAGAATTTTATAACCTACGAAATAACAAATATAGAAGAAGGGCATAACTTAAATCTTAAAATGGAACTCTCCCAGATGGACTGGTTAGAATTCAGACACACGATAAAACGAAAATTTCAAAATAACAGCGATAGCAGATTAAGAAATATAAAAGACATAGACAAACAAATAGAAGACACCACCGTCCTAATTCAGGAGACATACGACGCAACAAAGAAAACGCAAGTAAGGCCAAATCCGACACCACAGAAGCATTCCATGGTGGACAAAAGAATTAAACATCCAAAGAAAGAAGGTACGAACCCTACAGCGCCGTTACCACGGGGCTCCTGATTCAATAAGTAAAGATTTCCGTATTAAGTATAAGATCGAACAAGCTAAATATAAGAAAATAATTTTCAAAGCAAAAAGAGCTTCATGGGACGCATTTTGGCAAAGCCTACAGATCACATTCCCCTTTGGCACTTATTATGATATTGCCAAAGGCAAAAGATTAGGTCGCCTCCAACTAAGTACCAACCAAATGGCTGACGGCACCCTAGAAGATACCTTCCACCATAGAAGATACATTAAAAGAAATTCTAAGTTTCCACTTTCCCGACGATCCAAGCGTCAATGACACGGATGAGCACAGACAAATAAGACAGAGAGCAACGAGCATCATAGACACTCCACATGATGTAGACTTTACGAACATAGAGATAAGAAAACGAATAGAAAGCACAAAGAGAAGCAAAGCGCTAGGGTTGGACAGGCTTAACATATGCTTAACATAGATGAATTGCGACTAGCCAATGAGGATCTCTTAACCCAAGTATTCAACGCCTGCCTTCATACAAGATATTTTCCACGCGCATGGAAAAATGCGCAGTTATTTCTCTTCAAAAAGGAAGGAAAGAACCCCAAAGACCCCAGCTCCTATAAGCCAATCTACCTCCTCTCGGTCTGGGGGAAAGTTTTCGATAAGCTTCTGACACAGCGTCTAGTACATCACTTAGACTCAAATAACCTACTGCACAAAGCACAATACGGATTTAAAAAACGTCAAAGCACGATAGATGCCCTTGAGAACCCACAAAAGACCATCAACGAGAACAAAACAAATGGGCTGCACACATGCGTCATAGCTCCCAACGTCACCTCGGCCTTTAACAGGCTATGGTGGCCAGGTCTAAAGGAGCAATTAACCTTTTGAGACCGGGACTTTGTTAGCAGTTACCAAAGGACGGGGAATCTTGAACCGAATGCTTTCCCCCTTTAAAAAATCACATCCTATTTGCAACAAATATTCTTGTGCGTGGTTTAATGGATTCTCAGAGGGTGCATGTATGTCGCGAAAGGAAGATCTTTGAAAGAGATAAGTGGTTAAAACCCTAGGGACGTCAAATTTGACATTTCTCCCCACTTTTTAGCCTGGAAAATGGGAGAAAAAGACATGGCCAATAAAGTGGACAACACCGTCTTTTCAAATAGAGGACTTTATGGCCACTATAATGGCCATCCCGCCTTCAAAAGGTTAAGAAGACTCAGATGCCCCAAGAATATCTACAGGCTAATAAGCAGCTATCTTCACGATAGAGTTATAACTTACCAAAGAGTCGGTGTTCACATCACACACACTTACCAAAGAGGAGCGCCACAGGGGTCTAACATCGGCCCCACCCTGTGGAATATCATGGCTAATACGGCTTTAGAATTAGATTTGGAAGACACAGCAAGTCTTCAAGCTTATACTGACGACTTAGCATAAATAAAACTAAGATGATAATCTTTCCAAAGGGCAACAAAACAATTAACAGTCCCCCCAGGATAAAATGGCACGGCCAAACATTGAAAAACCAAGGCACTCTCAGATACCGCGGCTTCCTATTGGATAGCAAACTAACCTGCGTTCCCCACCTATCAGATATAAGGAACAAGACTTGCAAGATAATAAATAATTTAAACCGAATAATAGAGTCCAATGGAACTTAAAATGTAGACTAATTAAAGACCTGTACTAAGGGGAGTCGAAAAAATGATTCTCTACGGCTGCCCCGTATGGATGCAGGGCACAGTGAGACAAAGACAAAAACTACAATAAATCCAGAGGATCGCCCTCTTAAAGATTACAAAAACTTTTACTACCACCTCCACTGCCGCCCTCCAGATCCTATCCGGCACACTCCCATCCATCTCAAAGCGGAATTCGAGCGAGTCACATACAGACTCCACTTCAAAGAATGAGCGACACAAGAGGGTTCCATTCTCATCGAAGAAGCTCTTTTAGAACCATGCTTCAGTGCAACATCCCTACATTCAGCCTTCCTCAGAGACTTCCGATGGGACAAACATCCCCCGTCCGATCAGGAATTAGAGATCTTTACCGACGGGTCTAAAGACGACAAAAGAGTAGGCGCTGCTTTCGCAGTTTTCCACAATAGTCAAGAAATTTTTCAAGATCACCTTAGAGTCAGCGATCATGCCACAGTTTTTCAAGCGGAATCCCTAGCACTTAGGAAATCAGCCCTCTGGGAAAGCAGTTCAGATTTTAACAAGATCTCTATCTACACAGGCAGTATGAGCGTTCTACAGAGTATGAATAAGACAGGCAAAATTCCAGCGCATATTCAACCCTAAAAGAACTTGTCTCTACTCTGAGTAATACAAAGCAAGTCATCCTACACTGGGTAAGAGGTCATCAAGGGACAAGAGGGAACGAACGGGCAGACACTCTCGCAAAGGCCGCCACATCTCGCCAAGACATAGATATCTGCCTTCCGATCTCCACGAGAGCAGCCAAGCATCACATCCAACAGGCTTTCATGTCACAATGGCAAGAAATATGGGAACAAGGGTACACCGAAAGTAACACCTTCGCAATCTTCCCAAACGTCAGGCTGTCAAGAGTTTACTCGAACCACTACACGGTTCAGGCCATTTCCAATCATGGAAGTTTCCCCCAATATTTAGAGAGGTTTCTGCATTTACACGTCAAGTGCAGTTGTGGATCACCCGCCAGCACAGCAGATGCCGTCCATTACATCACTTCATGCCCACTCATCAAGTCGCTTAGATCTTCAGCCAACACCGCCCTACTCCATAGTAAAGGTCTCAGAGGTTACCTAACGGATTTCGGTCTCCAGGAAGTAAGACAGATTGTCAGCTTCGTCAGTGATCACACAAGACCATCATACAAGTCATACCATGGTTAAAACCTGACGATATGTAAAAGGCAGCATGCCTTATATAAAGATGTAAATAACTCACTTTTTCATATATATATATATTCAAATTACTAATCAAACATTGTTTTCACTAATATAACTAACTACTTCAGTGTACGTTGGAAAAACCAACATCAAATTGTAATTATAAATGTAATTTGTTTTGTAATTAGTTAATAACGAATGACCTGTAGTGCCCAATGAGAGGCTAGGCAGGCTAAAGATAATTATTATTATTATAATACTCTTATATGTTTGTAAATAGTACATTTTTTGCTTTAAAAAGTGTTGAGTATGTTGTTCTTATCTTCCGGTTAAGGTTTTTATACCTTTAGTAACTCTTTATGCAATATTTTTAGAATTATCAACATTTTTAAAGTTGTTTAAGTGCAGCTAACCCTAATAATGTTTTTTTGATGGCGGCCATTGCTTGTTTATACATTGGAAATAGCTGAATAGTGGATTTGTTGCCAATGTAGAGAAACAGATTCACAACGACAAAAATAACACCTTCAGTTATTACTTGCGAATTAAATCATGCTTCTAGAATTTTTTCGAGGAAATAAGTGTTTAAGATTTACTTCTTAATTTTTAATACAAATATTTTTAGTTTTTATGTATTTTTGCCTTCTCGCGAAGTGAGAACTGAATTAATTGAATGAGAAATACTCTATCGTCTGTGAAAACTGTTTCTTTTTAGTTTTGTTTGTTTAATTTCTTTTATACATCGTTCTAGCTTTATTATAGTATTTGAATAGAACATGTAGCAACGATTAGATACTTCTTTAAATGATATCAATTTTGTACATTCTGTGTTATAATATGAACGAAATATAATACTGTTAAGTGAACCTAGCGCCAGAGTGTCGCTACAGTAAACAAATATACAAACAAATATAGTGAATTTTAAAGAAATGCATTTATTCTATTGTGGTTTGTATGCTATGGACGAAGTAGATCTTAATTCAATTCCAATAAAGTTTTAAATGAAATGCAAGAAAAAAATGCATATAATTTAATATTGTTGGTTGTGCGTTAGCACTGAAGGCGTAATGAGTACGTTTCCTCAAGCACAGAATTAAAGAATCATAAGTCAAAAATTTTAACTACGAAATCTTTATTTAATAAAATAGGATAATTCTGCTTAACTTAAGCATAACCATAAAGTAATAATCTTCACAGACATTAAAACACTGAAGTATTCAAAAGAATAACTTACATAGAATCATCATCAGTACTAAATCACAAGGCTTACCTATTTTATGCAATAAGAAAAATAAACAGGAACATACTTGCCATCGTACTGAAAGAGAAGAAAGTACTACTGGATTAGACCTTTGGCCAGGTACAAGTAGCTAGGGTGAAAATCAAATATACTGCATTGCACACGAGCCTTACTTTCTCCTCCAATATATACCTTGGCGCACGTTCGTTTCGTATGCCTTTCGAGTTTCATTATGCAAAATAACTAAATTTATGCTAACAATATTCCGTATAAGGAAGTCATGTGGTGTACACATCAGATTTTTTAAATCACAGTGCGAGAAACGTACATACATTCATATTGATTATTCATTATTTATTTTCTTTAAATGTATTTAATGCAGGGCAATAATGTTTGGTGGCAACAATATGAAAAGTGATTTGGACATTTAAAGTGATTCGACGCAAAATCCCTTTTCGAAACTAATAATCCTCCTGGGCTGACGCCCATTAGGGTTAAAAAAATATAACACACAAAAATTACCAAGATTATGCCTTATTAACTCTTAATTTACTATTTGTTTGTAGTTTTACTATTTGTTTGCTAACAGAAGTGCTTATATGAATTTCTATTTAGCAAATAATTAACACTGAATAGTTTTTATTTCATTCTATTATTGTATGCATATGTAATGTGTTCATATTCATCTACAGGTAGAAGAACAGTTAGCGAATATCGAACGAAATCTACAACTGTCACTGATGTTCACACACCAGAAAGTACGTTTTAGTGTCAATGTTTTGCAATTTGTCTTGAACTTAGTTTTATTGAAAGAATACGTAATTTTAACTGAATTATGAGGCCTTTAAAATTTTTAAAGCTCTGTTTCTCGGTATGGAATATTTATTATTTTAAATGACATTATCTCTACTAGCATGGTGTTAATTATATATAATTGTTAAATTTGAGTATATTATGCTTTTTATTTTGCTATCTGTATTTGGCAGTCTATTTATTTTTTCTGCATTCTAACAAAATCAAGCATATAATTTCAAAGTTCTTTGAAAAACACTATTCAGTTTCTAAATATTTCTTCTTTCTTATACGAAGTACAGGAAGTATTGTAATCACGAAAATTTCGGTTCTCATATTTCAACGAAAATATCTATTTTGGCAGCTCTCGAATCAATCTACATCAAAAAAGATTGCTTTTTTGCCTAATATTTGACTCAATCGAAACCAAGCTATTTGGTGACTTCACATGTCATTTTAGCGACATTTCTCTGTCGCTTCACAATTTGTTGATACATTTTAACCTTGTATTTCCCCTTATTTTATTTTAGATCCAAAATGTGTTATATATAATTTTATAATATTAACCGAAACTGTTATGCAATACGCGATGTATTTCCATGCTTTCTAAAAAAACGGACGAGACTTCGAAAATCGCTAACAATATTCGAATGATAATGTTAACCGCGATCATATGAAGCCGTGTCTACTATAGAGAATACTTCAGATAAATACAGAAAATACTGTTATTCAGTTTTTTATCATAAATACAGAGAAAAAAAGTTACTCATTTCTCCGAAACCTTCAAAGTAAATTCCTCCGTAGTATGTACATTCCTTTTAGCATTCCTGTTTGTAGTATTTGGCTTTAGAAAATTAATCGATATTTTTAATATTTGAGACCATATCTTTCGTCTAAATAATAAAAATTAATAACAATAAATCTAAGTAAAAATTAAGCTAAACTATTTTACTTTGTTTAAAGGGCTTCTTTTAAGTGCCTGCATTTATATTATGCACCAAGGAAATTGAATATTGATGACGCAAAAATTTTCTTATATCTTACTTTTTTCCCAGCTAAAACTTGCAGTGATATTGAGACAGTCGGATCGACAACACCGATTGTTCACACTCCGCCAAGTAAGCCCCTTTTTTATCATAGAAATTTCTCGTAAAGGTAAGCTTTGTTTTCTATATGTCTTATATATTTGTATCATTTCAAAGGTTTTTCATGCATGGTGTAACCTAACTTAATCTTGATAATCACAAATGAGCGATATCTGAGTCCTGTTGCGTCGTTTTTTGAAATTTTACAATAAGGTACCCTACTAGTCGACCCCCAACACTAAAAATATCATTTCAACAATAAGATTCTAGTATCAATAAAAATATCATGTTTGCGTTGTGTTTATTCCGGATTAACCCTAAAATCAATGTGAGAAATAAACTGGTGAAAAAATCATGAGCACACAAATTAAATTAACCATTGATTGATCTAGAAAAACTTATTTATTTAACTCTTATGGCAATATATATATATATATATATATATTACTTGGCAAATCAAAATATATTCCACAAATTTAGTACTATTGTTTTACAGATCAAACTATTACTGAGTAATTATTTCTTTAACATTAGTCTTAGCTTGGCAATCAAGTAAACATACCAAAATAGACTATAAATTAATGAACAGTAACCTTCCCCGGGGAGAAAAAAAAATATAAATTTTAACAAGTTATATCTTCCACTTCAGAATAATCAATACAGGAAAGAAATTATTGCACTCAATACCATCAAACAAACCAATAGTTATTGCACATAATAAATTTTATCATTTTTCTTTTCTTTTATTATTAAAATATTGTTTAACCGGATAAACGATAAGTAGTTACATTATTACTGGTACTATTACTAATCCATCTTCACCATGAAGTAACTCCAAAAGTTCTATTAAGGGTACCGTGGACTTTGAAAAAGCTAAAAATCGACCAAAATATTGAATTTTTTTTTTACTCTCGTTGTATTACATATACTTAACTGCATCGTATGTAAAAAACCGAATTCAAATATTCTAATTTTTAACGAAGTTACAAGCATTTAAAATGTGTAAACAACATAAACTTTGCCCTTTAAATTTTGGCGAAAATGTAAACAAATATGTTTCAACAGTTATTTGCTGATATTTATATACTTATATATTTAATTCTTTATAAACCTGGCAATATAACGTTTTAACTGTAACTGCCATTTCACTGTTTACAGTTTAAAAGTGCTTTTCCTCGCTATTTCTTTAGTTCTTTTGCTAAAAGTGTTTTGCTGTGTTTTATACAACTACATTTTGCAGGACTGTTTATAACTGAGTTTCTTGGACTGGAAGAACTTCAGATTAATTTATAACCTCTTGCGTAAAAGTATATATATATATATATATTTATTTATTTATTTATTGTACATTATGCATGCCATAAGTCGTCGTTACCGTAAGCCTAAAGGGCGACCATCGAAGAAAAAAACTTGCAGCTGTCAGCAAAATTGAAAAACGATGGGCAGCTCATTCGGAAAATGACGTGACATTGAACAGTGAAGAAGTTTCTTCCAAAAATAAACAAACAATTTTTCTGAAAGTTCTATAGTTGAAGCGAGTACTTCAATAAGTGCCAGTGTAAAGAAACTGAATGAAAGTTTATTACGAACGTCTGACTGTGGTGATAACCGAAATGATGATTCATATATTTTGATAAATCGTAAAATGTGGAATCCATTGCTATGTAATATAAAGTGTGACGAGTGCTCAACCAACTCTTTAGATATTGTTTCGAAAGGAATATATGGATATTCTACAAAACTTGAATTAGTTTGTAAAAACTGTGATAAAATATTTAGTTCAACATTTTCAAGTGAGCGGGTAAAACGGTCAAATACTTTTGATGTGAATACGAAACTTGTCGAAGCATTTTTGAAAATAGGCAAAGGCCACGCCGCCTTAGAAGTGTTTTCCATGATTATGGGAATTCATGCTATGGACAAAAAGACATTTGCTAAATGTTTACACAGTTTGTCTGAAGAAAAGGGGAAACTAAAAGGTGATTTCCTTCAGTTTTCTCGAAATATTGTTCGAAACAAGCATAAAAAATTAATTAATATAAATAATGATGAGTGTATAGATATCACAGTGTCGTATGATGGCACATGGCAAAAACGTGGGCAGGCATACATCACTGTATGGAATAGGTATCGTCGTAGATGTCTTGACTGGGTTAGTTATCGACTACGAAATTCTGTCAAAATATTGTCCTGAATGTGTATGCGCGAAAAGAGATATGGATGCTGACAGTGCGGAATTTCATATATGGTTTGAAAGCCACAAACCAGAGTGTTCCAAAAATTTTTCTGGTTCGTCTAATGCTATGGAAATGAAAGCCGCAGAAATTTTATGGAAACGGTCCATCAGTACATGTAATATGCGATATGTTGGGATACTTTCTGATGGGGATGCGAAAACATATCAACATTTATTAACTCTGAATCTTTATGGTAATGACGTAAAAATTAGTAAAGAAGAATGTATCAATCATGTGGCAAAACGTTTAGGGGCAGGATTGCGCAATAAAGTTAAAGAGCTGCGTTCCAGAGGTATATGTATCGGTGGACGAAAAGAAGGTAATCTGAAGGAAACTACAATTTTAAAGTTAACAAACTATTACAGAAAGGCCATAAAAGATAACATACCGGAT